CAAAAAAATAATTTCATCTCTTATTACTCTTATTTATAGTGATATATGGGGATCATCCTCTATTCCTAATATTTCTGGGGCTTGGTGTGTTTTATCCTTTATTTATGATTTTGCTCATGTGTCTTGGATATTCCTCCTAAAACAAAAATCTAATGTAAGCTTTACCTTCCAAACTTTCTATAATATGTTCAAGACCCAATTTGGTGATGAAATTAAGATGTTTTGGTCATATAATACCAAAGATAATTTTAATCTATTCCTCTCACCAAACTTCCAAAAAAAGACATCATACATGAATCATCGTGTGTTAGTACACCTCAACAAAACTGTGTAGCCGAAAGAAAAATGGGCATATTTTAGCTATTACAAGAGTTCTCTTATTCTAGAAAAAATGTTCCTAAGCAATATTGGGGGAGGTTGTCCTAATTGCTACTCATATGATAAATAGACTGCCTACAAAGGTCTTTGAGTCACAAAGCCCTATGCAGGCTCTAACAACCTTCTTTCCTAATTTCAATGCCTCAAATAACCTTACCCCCAAAATATTCAGTAATGTGGCCTTTTTCCATGTACATTCTAAAGACAGGGGGAAACTTGATCCACGAGCAATCAAACGTGTCTTTCTCAATTATTCTTCTACCGAAAAGGGATACAAGTGTTGCCATCATCTCATAAAAAAGCACTTTGTATCTGCAGATGTTACTTTTACAAAAGGAGAAAATTACTTTACCCGTCTCTATCTTCAAGGAGAGATCACATTCACAGAAGATAATGATAAAGATATATTCCTCCTTGATTTTTCAGAACCTATAGCATCTAACCATCAACCCCTTATTACACACCAACCCCTTATACCCAATATCAGTAAAGGATTCAGGATACTACTCGCCCTTTACTAGTTTACTCAAGAAGAAAGGCACGGGGGCAAGTTCAATCATCCTCCTTTCCTATACAACCCAAGGGAATTACTGTTGAACCTAATCCCAATAATGACAATACCACTACCACTAAAAATCTTGATTTAAATGATTTTCTCATTGCTATTAAAAAAATAACTATGGCTTGCACAAAACATCCTTTATACTTATTCATGTCATACAAAAACTTATCCCCTAATCATAAAGTCTTTCTTACTAATATAAACTCTATTCCCATTCCCAAAACTGTGAGGCTTTAAATGATGAGAGTTGGAAAAATACCATGAAAGTTGAAATGGAAGCACTTAAGAAGAATAAAACATACAACCTAGTGGAGTTACCCAGAGGAAAGAAATCAGTGGGATGTCGATGGGTGTTCGCAGTGAAGTACAAATCTGATAGTTCTTTGGATAGGTACAAAGTAAGGCTAGTTCTTAAATGGTGCACTCAAATGTATGGAATAGACTACCTCGAAACATTTTCCCCTAAAACAAAGATGAACGCTGTGAAAGTGTTGTTGTCTCTAGCTGATAATTGAGGATGTGTAGCAATTTGACATCAAAAATGCCTTTTTACATGGTGAGCTTGAGGAGGAAGTCTACATGGATGTCCCACCAGGGTTCAGTCCAAATACTAGATAGGTGGTATGTAGGCTAAAGAAGGCTTTATGAAACAATATCGAAAAGCTTGATGTGGAAGGTTTACTAAGGCAATGCTCAAGTTAGGGTATAAACAGAGCCAAGGTGATCATACTTTGTTTTTAAAACACTCGACTTCAGAGGGAGTGACATCCTTGTTAGTTTATACTGACAGGAGATGATTTGGAATGAATGAAAGATTTGAAGAAATGTATAATAAAGAAATTTGAAGTCAAAAATACTTCCTAGGCATCAATATAGCACATAAATGGGAAGGAATCTTCATATCTCAGCAAAAATACATTGTTGACAGAAACATGCAAGTTGGGTTACAAACCAACAGAGGCTCATATATAGGTCAACCATAGACTTGGAGATGCATTAGAAGAAGCAATTGTTGATAAAAGTTCCTATCAGAGGCTAGTGGGAAAACTCATATACTTGGCCAGATATTACCTATGCAGTTAGTGTGGTAAGCCAATTCATGCACAACCCCAAAGAGTCACATCTTAGGGATGTGTACTAGATCCTACAGTACTTAAAGGGCACATTAGGCAAGGGAATCTTATTTAAGAAAGAGGAGAAGCTAGGTCTTGAGGTCTACCTGATCTAGATTATACAGGGTCTAAAGTAGATAGAAGATCAACCTAGGGCTATTGTACTTTATTAGGGGGAACCCTTATGACTTGGAGAAGTAAGAAACAATATGTTGTGGCTAGATCCAATGCAGAAGTTGAATTTAGGGCAATGAGACTTGGAATTTGTGAGTTGTTATGGCTAAAAATTATTTTGGAAGATTTAAAAATCAAGTGGGAAGGTCCAATGAAACTCTATTGTGATAATAAGTCAACCATCAATATTGCCCACAATCCAGCGCAACATGACCGTACAAAACACATTGAAGTTGATAGACATTTTATAAAGGAGAAACTTGACAATGGCATGATTTGTACTCCTTATGTGTCCACTTATGGTCAACTGGCATATATACTTACCAAAAAATTGTGTGTGAAGATTTTTCAGAAGTTAGTGAATAAACTAAGAATGAATGATATCCATTTCCCAACTTGAGGGGGAGTGTCATATTCCAGTTTCCTACATAAGGAATATTTGTTGTATTAACTAGGATATTCTGTAAATATGTTAGTGATTGTAATCCCTAACTTTGAGGTATTTATTCTAGGTCAAATATTCCTAGAATTAGTTTCTTTCTTAGTTTAGAGTTCTCTAACTTAGGCTTATTAGGTCTATAAGAACTAATGTAAAATTTCTATGAATCAATCAATCGAATCTTATCACTCTTTGACATTTTTTAACATATATTGGACGAATTGCCGTTGAAAGTTGAAACATTTGAGAGGGGATACAGTCTGGGTTCTGATACAGCAGGCCGGCCAACGTCATCAATGTATTCTATAATCATTGGCTCAAGTGATTCCTGCACAGCTTCTCCCAAAACCCAAAACCTCGCAAGTCATCTCACTCGGGGGGACTACAGCCACACTTGTATGCCAATGCAGATTCAAACGGAAATGGTCGCAGCTACATGTCAGGCCTCAATTCTACCGTCGATCCGTAAGCCGTTAAAACGTATAATCGTGTAGGTTTCTCCGAGCTTCTTTTATCAGCATGGAGGCGTCATATTCATTTGATTGCTTCGTCCAAACAATGCTAGGGTATGAATAAGTTGGTATTATGTTGCTTATATGCATTTTGTTTCTGGTCCATTCCATATATTTCTCTATTCTACTAGTATAGTATAGTGTTATAATTGGTATTGTTTGTCGCTCATAAAAGCCAGGAATTTCTTTCGCAATGTGTAAACTAACAGAGCCGATATTTGAGTGAATGTAATTCGATCAAGAATGTTACCAATGGAGTTTTCAGTGTAGAAATATTTTTTTCTGTCACCCAATTTGGATGTGATTAAAAAGAAAATTCTAGAATAAATTATCATATATTACGAATGCTACGTATTTAAAAAACTAAAACCCTGCAACCTTTGCACTGGAAGTTTAGTACTATCTACCTAAAGAAATTAAAATTAAATATTTTCACCTTCTCCATTTAAATATTCTAATACAGTTATTAACATTATCGTTGACATCAATATATTATAAATTATCAATAATACACTCATGCAGTCATAACAGCTTAAAATCTAAATCGTTGTTTATTATACTTGGTGATAAGTAAACTAAAGAATTTGTATTTCTTTTTCGAGTTTTCTTTTTGAAGGAGTGGTGAAAACTGTGAATCGGATTGAATTCGCGTAATTTTTTGTGCATTCATTTACTAGTGTTTCTTTTTCAACTTCTTTAATAATTTTCGACTACTCTTTTTCTATTTTGCTATTTCAAATGTGCTCCGAGTTAAAATGAATATTTTTAATGATGCCAACATTACCTTAAAAAAATTAACTGCAGGATTAATCACTAAAATTTGCATTTTGTCTACTCTGTCTCACTAATTAAAAAAAGCATAATATATGATCACATATATTTTTATTTAATTAATAAATTGTCATCATGAGTTAGTTTTCGTTAACAGATTAAGTGAAGTTGCAGTTAATATTTTGGTATAATCACATATTTGATCTCTTTTATTTATATATTTTCTCAATTTAGTCATGCCTTTAATAAATTAAAATAAATTTAATCCTCAATTTGAATGATGTCACGTGTCACCGGTGTCACATGTCACCATTCGGTTGGAGGATTAACTTTATTTTAATTTAATATATTTATTTTACATAATTTAATAGGTAAAGAGTAGGAACCAAATGTGTGTTTATACCAAAATATTTAACTGCCACATCAATTAATGTTAACGGTTGTAAAACCGTGATGACCACATCTTGATTAAATAAAAATGAAAGTGGTCATATCATAATTAAATAAAAACAAAAGTGACCATATATTATGTTTTTTTAAATCAATAAGGAAAAGTAGACAAAACTCAAACATAAGTTATGAATGATATAGTTAGCCCTTAAAAAAAGTTGGCGTGATTCATATAGAAGGCAAAATGGTGTATTTGATGAAGAAAACCAAAGAGTGAAAAAACAGCATTTAAAATAGCTTTAGAAAACTTAGGAGAGCAACCTCTTTCACTGAAGTATTTACCATTCCCTTTTCTCTTACTTTGAATCTGATGAAACCAACTAAACACATACATATACAAATCACTGTCAACAACAAGAAGGGAAAAAACATTCATCGTTAAACCACACATTTTTCACATGTTATCAACGAAGACCAAAACAGTCTTTTATGGTACAAAGCAGATTGCTGTATGCTGATATTCAAACTCCAAAACTACTGAATGTAGACTTTTAAGGATAATTACATGAACCGACAGAGATAACATCCAAGATTCGAAGATGATTTATTTCGTATTTATCATCTTCGGGCTATGATTCTGGGGTAAAAGTATTTAGCAGTGCAAAACAAGTGACAAACTGTTCGAAAGAACAAAGTGATCAAACTTCATACCCAGGGTTTACTTTCTGTTGAACATCTCCATAACTTTCTAGCTCATTTATATCTTCACAGCTACCCAAAAAGAGAGGCAATCTTTGATGCAATTTCACCGGTTGGATCGAAAGAATTCTACTTTTACCATCCGAACCTTTGCCTCCAGCTTGCTCCGCAAGAAAACTGAGAGGATTTGCCTCGTAAACCAGCCGCAAATGATCCCTTGGATTCATTGCTATTCCACCATACAACAGAGTCCTATGGAAATCAGCAACCAACGAACATATATATCGAGCTGAATATTTCATTGGGTATTTGCCTTTTCCTTGTCTCACTGTATCAATATATCGCCTTAGACCTTCAGGCCAATCGAAATACCGCGCATCGTTGACAGAATATATTTGGCCTGCAATCATTGATATAGGCAGTTCACTAATCATCGATTGGATCGAAAGAAATCAATATCACTTTCATACAGTAAAGAGTTCCCACTTAATCAAACTGGTAACGAAGAGTATCACCGGTATGAAATCCAAGGATTCTATGAAATTAATGAAGCAGATATCAGACATATCTCATCTAAAAGATCATTAAGTGGATTGAAAGGAATCAGTATCAGTTTCTTACTCTCAAACAATCTCTTGCTAGCAAACAATAAAGATTTCCCATTTAATCAAACTGCTAATGAAGACCATCACCAGTAAGAAATCCAAACAAATCTCATCTAAATGGATTCATAACAAGAACAATTTAACTGTCAAGACATTGGTACATTACCTCGAGGCGGAATTCTAATGCTTGGATGTGTGAGAATAAAGTCTCCTGTTGTATGATCCAAGGTAAATGCATGTGTCCCTGAGCCAAAGCTAGCGCATGGAATCGTGGCAGAAGAATAGAGGACATAGCCGGCAGCTACGAGCTTCGTCCCCCTTTGTAGCGAATTAAGCAATGCCTTCTCTTCCACGGGTTGATTATTGAGCTCCGTGAGCCGGTTATATACCCCAAAGATTGTTCCAGTAGGAATGGAAGCATCTATATTTCGAGAACCATCGAGGGGATCCAATACCACCACAAAGGGACCATCATCATTGATCCAAATTGGACCATCATCTTCCTCTGATGCCATGACTGAAGCTTTACCTGAATTTCTAAGAGATGACGATATGATTTCATTCTGCAGAAAAAAAAAAGAAAAAAAAAACTAAATTAGCAGATCACAAGACTTTAAGTCCTTTTTCCCTATACAATTGAAAACCAAAATTTTAACTGATTACATTCTTTAAAATCAAACTGTTTCTGTATCAAATTCAATCTCTCACCCTGAAATTACTTGCTCAAGAGTCTTGACAACGCACTAAAACCAGTTGCAATGATTTAATCATTCATAATATTAAAAGTTCATGTAACTTAAACTACTTAAGGGGTAAAAGAGAGCAAAATTTATATTATGAAATTAGCATAGTAAAATATACGGCCACAAGATCAAGCGGCTTCGGCTTATCCCTATCAGAAGAAGCGGCAGCGGTGAGAGCTGAATGTTTGGAGAGAGCAGAATTAAAAGGAGAAGCCACAAGAGCAGCAATTCTCTTGCAAGCAAATTGTATATGGTAAAGCAAAACAACTAAGTCATCTCCCACATCTAGTCCTCCTTTCCCAACAAAATCCATCAGCGAAGAAATACCATTTCCACCATCACCAACAGAAGTCATTTCCATCTGTGCCTTGGCTAAAAACCCAGAAAAAGAAGCCGTTTTTGGTGGGGTGTAAAAGCTCAACCTTTCTCTAAGAAAAAAGTGGGGTTTTGGAGGGAAAGGATGGGAAGTTATATGGAAAAGTGGAGATGGATACGAGATGGTGGGAGACAATAATTGTTGCATATTAGAAGTTGATGAACTGGTAATGGAAAATGGAATAATGAAATCATATCATATTGTTATGAATGGGGTAAAAGAAGAAGAAATAATCGAAGGAATGGTGTTTTTAGAAGCAGAAAGAAAAGATTACAGAAAACGTTCTCATTCATTCATTTCATAACTCCTCTTTCTGTTTACATTGCCTTTATTTACATACAATCATAATAGATTTTGTTATGCCAGTTGTACCTCTCTCTAACCAATTCTGTTATCATAACAGGAATTGGGCTGCTGCTGGGCTTCCTTTGCTCCACCTGTATCTGCTGGACCAGTCTGCTGATTCTGCTGGGTAATTACTTTAATTCCCCTCGTGCTCCTCACGTGCCCTGCTCTCAGGTAATTACTTCCCAATTCTATCTCAATCCCTAACCCTTGATTATTCATTTCCCCCAATTCTCCTTCGATACTCATATCTCGTCCTCTTTCTTCTCCCTCTCGTCTTCCCTCTCCCACTGTGACAATACCCACCCCATCAGATGATCCTTGTCCCCAAGGATCAAACGATGGAAACTGCCCTCGCAGCACTGAATAGTCTTCCCAAGTGTCGTGCATCTCGTCCAGGTTAGTCCACCGAACCAACAACTGTGTAATTGGTTTATTGTGTCGATTAACAATTCTTCTGCCTAATATTTTGTTGGGTTATATCCGAAACTGACCCTCATCATCAATCGTAGGAGGATCTGTGGAAGTTTCTGCATCAGGCCCAACATGCTTCTTCAATAAACTGACATGAAAGACTGGGTGCAACCGCGAAGAATCTGGTAAGTCAAGTTTATTGGCTGCTTCCCCAATTTTTTCAATAATCTTGTAAGGGCCATAAAACCTTGCTGCTAATTTCAAATTTTTCCTCAGGGCGATAGAAGTCTGTCAATACGGCTGTAGTTTCAGGTAAACGAAATCCCCAATCTGAAATACTCTTTCTGATATGTTTTTATCAGCTTTCTGTTTCATTATATTACTTGCTTGTTGTAATTGAATTTTCACCAATTGTCGAATGTCTTCCCTGCTTCTCACTAACTCTGCCACTGCATGTACTTGAGTGTCTGTATACCAAACCATGGTAGGGGGCTTGTATCCATATAGAGCCTGAAAAGGTGTTAGTTTTAAGGCAGTATGGTAGGTAGAATTGTACCACCACTCAGCATGTGGCAACCATTTAGCCCATTGCTTTGGTTGGTAAAAACAAAGCCCTCGGAGGTATTGTTCTAAGCACTGATTTACCCTTTCTGTTTGTCCATCCATTTCAGGATGGTAAGCAGTGCTAAAGAGGGTCTTAGTCCCTAAGAGCTTCATTAGTTCTCTCCAAAAGAGGCTGGTGAAGGTCTTGTCTCTGTCTGAAATGGCCATTTTAGGCTGGCCATGAAGCTTATATATGTGGTCTAAATACAATTTAGCCACCTCAGCTGCTGAGTAAGGGTGTGATAGAGCTAAAAAGTGACTATATTTAGTAAACTTGTCAACCACCACAAGAATACAATTATTACTTAAAGATGTAGGCAAGCCTTCAACAAAATCCATAGTGATAACTTCCCAAGCTTGTTGAGGAATAGGTAATGGCTGTAGCAGTCCTGGTTTAGCAACATGTTACACCTTAGTTTGTTGGCAGACGACACAAATTTTAACATAATTGACCACCATAGCTTTAAGTCTAGGCCAATAAAAGTAAGATTTAATTCTCTGATAAGTTGCTTGACTTCCAGAATGACCCCCATGAGGTGAGTCATGTAATGTCTGAAGAATTTGTAGTCTAATAGATCCAGCCTCCCCAATATAAACTCTATCCTTATATCTAAGGATTCCCTTTGAATATCTCCACTTATTATCAGCAGTAGAATGAACAGCCAATTTAGTGATCCACTAAGTAGCCAATAAATCTTCTTTATAACTAGCCTCCACCTCCTGCACCCAACTTGGAATAATTAGAGTTGTGCCCATGGCCAAACACTTTCCCTGATCCTCCCATTGTCTAGATAATGCATATGCCACCACATTTGATTTCCCTTTTCTATATTGTATAATATAATCCAACCCCAAAAGCTTGGTCAATCCTCTTTTTTGAATTGTAGTGGTCAACTTCTGCTCTAAAAGATACTTTAGAGGTTCATGGTCAGTCTTAATGATAAAAGGATTACCCTCTAAGTAATGTCTCCATTTAGATATTGCTAATAGAATAGCTAAATATTCTCTTTCATAGAGAGAGTAGCATTTCTAGGACTAAGGGCCTTACTAAAAAATGCTATAGGTCTGCCATTTTGAGATAAAACAGCACCTATACCTCCTGAGCTTGCATCTGTCTCTAAGTAAAAATTCTGAGTAAAATCTGGAAGAGCCAAAACAGGAGCAGTGGACATGGCTCTTTTAAGATTTTCAAAAGCAGTCAAAGCTGCAGTAGTCCACTTAAAATTGTCTGCTTTAAGCATTTGTGTCAGTGGCTTGCTTATAGCACCATAATCTTTAATAAATCTTCTATAATAGCCTGTTAATCCCAAAAATCCCCTCAAAGACTTCAAAGATTTAGGGAGAGGCCAATTCTTCATTGCTTCCACCTTACTGGAATCAGTAGCAACCCCTGCTGCTGAAATAATATGTCCCAAGTATTCTACTTGGGTTTGTCCAAAAAAACATTTAGAGAACTTTGCAAACAATTGATTAGCTTGTAACACCTCTAAAACTTGTTGTAAATGAGCAATATGAGCTGCCATAGAACTGTTGTAAACTAAGATGTCATCAAAAAACACCAACACAAATTTTCTAAGGAATGAACTAAATAGTTCATTCATTAATGCCTGAAAAGTAGCTGGGCATTAGTAAAGCCAAAAGGCATCACCTTAAATCCATAGTGGCCTTGATGAGTTCTGAATGCAGTTTTGTGAATATCTGCATCCTTAATTCTGATTTGCCAATACCCTGATCTGAGGTCAATCTTTGAAAAATAAACAACACCATGTAATTCATCTAATAAGTCCTCCACAACAGGAATAAGAAATTTATCCTTAATAGTCATGTTGTTTAGTTGCCTGTAATCCACACAGAACCTCCAAGAGCCATCTTTCTTCTTAATTAGGAGGCATGGAGAAGCAAATGGACTTTTACTAGGCTGAATAATAGAAGAAGATAACATAGTAGCAATCTGTTTTTCCACCTCAGCCTTCTGGTTGTGTGGAAATCTGTAGGGCCTGAGATTGACAGGAATTGAATCAGGTTTAAGGGAAATACCATGGTCATGGTTTCTTACTGGTGGAAGACCTCTTTGCTCCTCAAAAATATCTTTGTAGCTTTCTAGGAGAGACTGAATAGCTGCAGGAATAGGTTTAGAGGCTTCTATCATAGAGAATAATACAATATCTCCCAAAATAACAGAATCTGAAACTGTCATTTTCAATAAAGAAGCTCCTGAAATTTGCTACAAAAATAAAGATGGTTGTTGACCCTGTATAACAATTTGTCCATCTTGGTGAACAAAACTGAGTGTCATTTTGTTGAAGTCCATCAAGATTGGACTAAATAATTTCATCCAATCTACTCCCAATACCATGTCACTCCCTCCCAACTGTAAAAGTCTGAAATCATGAACAAAAGAGTGTCCTTGCATTTTCCATTCAACTCTATTACACCTTGTTGTACTATATAGTTGTTGACCATTAGCTACTGTAATAACCAAAGGATAAGGTGTATTTACCTGTATACCAGCCTCAGCCCACTGTGGCGTTAAAAAACTGTGAGTACTACCACTGTCAATTAGAATATTCAATGGTTTGCCTAGGATACTGCCCTGAATTCTTAAGGTGTTATGACCAATACACCCAGTGATAGCATTCATAGATATTTCTAGGCTCTCTTCCTCCTGTATAACTTGCTGTTCTGAATCAGTAGGTAGAATATCTGAAGGCAGAATAGTATCATCTTCAATCATCATGTTCAGTTGTTTTGTTTTACATTGATGGCCTGGAACAAATTTCTCACCATATTTAAAGCACAAATTGTTTTGTCTTCTGTACTCTATTAAATTCTGTTTTGGTGGCAAAGTGGTTGAATTCTTTTGTGGAATTGGTAACTGAGTTGGCTTAGAAACAGGTAGGGAATTTGGGTAGGGTGGGTTTCTAAAAACTAGCCTCATTCTCTTGCTTTCAAATTCAACAGACAATTCATACAGTTTAGCTTGCCTGTATGATTCAGATAGTGTCTTAGGGTCTAGTTCTTTGACTCTATGTTTAATATCATCCCTTAGTCCACTAATAAACAGAGGGACAAAGAATTCCTCACCTAGTGTAGGATTCTGTAAAAGCATATGAGGCTGTAGTTCTTCAAATCTATCTTGATACTCCTCCACAGACCCTTTCTGTACCACCTTAGTAAACTCTTCCACTATATCAACAAAGGCCTTATCACAAAACCTATGACATAGGTCTGCCTCAAACTCATGCCATGTAACATGATGTTTTTGCATTATGTAGCCATCAAACCAAATTTCTTCTTTACCTGTTAAGTACATTGTAGCTACTTCTACTCTTTGTTCCTCAACAATACTACATAATGAGAAGTATTTAAGGCATTTATGTATCCAACCTCTGGGATTACTACCTTCAAAAAAATGTAACTCGATTTTAGGCCTGTGCAACATAATCCCTGAAGTATTACAAGACCCCCCCTGTGCCTCTTCTATCCATATCTAAACCCACTGTATTGTTCTTAACAACACTATTCTCCCCCACTTGAATATCATTTTTGAAGCTGGTTATGTGAGTAGGCAACTCATTTGGCTTAGATTTTAAAATTCCAGGCTCATCAGGTTTATAAGTAAACCTCTTTTTGTCATTAACCACTGTAACCTGTACAGCATGCTTCCCACTCAAGTTAGATGAATTAGGGGTCTGTACCTGTTCCTCATCAGGTTGATTTTGATCTCCTTTCCGACCCGTCAAAATCCTCAAAAGCTCTTCTACGTACCCTTGATTTGTAGTCAT